TCCTTCCTTCCTTCCTTCCTTCCTTCCTTCCTTCCTTCCTTCCTTCCGTTGTTTTTTGGTACTGGGGATTGAACTCAGGGACATTTAACCTCTGAGCTACATCACCAGCCCTTGTTATTTTTTATTTTGAGACAGGGTCTCACTGAGTTGCATATTGTCTTGCTAAATTGCTGAGGCTGGCTTAGAACTAGTGATCCTTCTGCCTCAGCCTCTTGAGCCACTGGGATTATAGGCGAACACCACCACACCCAGCCTACTATTTACATTTTTAATATTCTAAAAGTCATTCATTACTTTAAAGTAGATAAAGTCATTAGAAGCAGAACATATTTTAATATATGTTACAGCAGGATTTGCATCCTGTATAGATGTTTACTATCTATGTGGACTTGGAAAATTTATTTTAACTTCTCTGAGCTCTATTTTTCATCTCAGAAAAAATTTTTTAATGAGTGCACTAAATGGTTTTTAAATTCTAATTGAAGCTACCATTTATCAAGTGCTGTCTGTGCTAACTTACATGCTTTAATCTCATTTAGTCTTTTTTACCCGCTGAATACTATCCTCATTTTACAGGTCAGAAAATTGACCTTCAGAGAGGTCAAGTAACTCATTTAGGGATACAGTTAAAAACTGACATCAGGCTTCAAATTCTGATCACTTTATTCCAGAACTGTGGTCTAAATTAACTGCTGAGATTGATATCACGTGCCTAGCATAAAATAGGTTTTTATTAAATGATAGTTGTAATAAAGGTAGTTTACATAGGGATGGACAATAGTCTTTTAAAATTTAATTTTAATATAGTAGATGAGAAATAATCAGTGCATGCAATCAGTGGATGTAATGTAAGGCTGTTCTGGTCTTTCCTAGCCTTATATTTCTCATTTATTCACCCTCTATTCATATTTACTTCCTAATACAGTTCTTCTTTGCAAGAAGAAAAAGCAAATTAATAAGCTTAATCACAAATTTTTTAAAAACAGACTCATTAATTGTTGATTAAATGTTCAGAAAGCAACTTCTATTCCTATCATTGCTTTAGAGATAGCTTTAATTACAACACATATAAAGCCCATTAATCAACAGTTACATCGTAGTGTACTCCAAAAGAGGAATTTCCAATTAATAGCACTATCTTGGTATCATTAAAACTTCTGATAGATTGTTTATATTATCCTTTACATATAGATGCTAATTTCCTGTGTCACAAAATTGATGTTAGGTATCTGACATTATTAGATAATATTTTAACCTCTTTTAAAACAGTACTCAGCCTAAAGCAGGATTTATCCTAAAAGGATTTCATAAAAATAGTTTGAAATAAAGTAGCATATATGTGGGAAATAAGGGAAAACAGTTGTTTAACAGTTTTATACCAAATTGATTAGCTGAAGATAATAAGGGGTGATTAAGAGCAGGGCTCTGAAATCAGGCGAGAATGTATTTTTCAACCATTCCTTAGATTTCTGCATGACTTTCAGCAAATTACTATAATCTAACTCATTTGTAGTGTGAATTGTGTAGAATAACTGAGTTGAACCTAACTCCTAGTGCTGTTTATGCAAACAGTACATATAAAAGTGCTTAGGAAAGTATCCAGAATCTGGTTTCTTCTGAATAAATGTTCAAATGCCATTTGTCATTATCATTTTTGCTATGTTCAGTGTTTTGGTAATATATTAGCTCAAGAGGTATCAATTGAAGAATAGTAATGAGGGGTTGGGATTGTGGCTCAGTGATAGAGTGCTAGCCTAGGTGAGGTACTGGTTTGATCCTCAGCACCGCATAAAAATAAATAAATAATAAATATATTGTGTCCAACTTCAACTAAAAAATATATATTTAAAAAAAGAGTAGTAATGATATGTAATAATCTATCAGATTGAAAGTTGAAGGTGTGACTCAGTGGTAGAGCACTTGCTTAGCATGTGCAAGCCCTGGATTTGATCCCTAGCACTGCTAAAAACAAAAGATGGGATTGTGTATATTGCTTTTTCACTCAGTATATCTTAAGTATTTTCTGGTATCCCTATTTATTCTTAAAAGAAATGGTTTTTAATGGCTCCACCTTATCTAATAATGTAAGCACCAGTCCCCTGTAACTGTCTATTCAAGTGTACATGGATTTTCATTCTTACACAACCCACTAGGATGTATGTGCTTATTTATATTTTTGTGGTTTCCTTTTAGGCTCAGTATTCTCACCATGTGATCCAGGAAATTCTAGGACATCTTGATGCTTGTAAGAAAGATTCTCCACGTGTTCGAGCAGGTATTATTCAGGTTCTGTTAGAGGCTGTCGCCATTGCTGCTAAAGGTTCCATAGGTGAGTGACAGAAAAGAATAAAATAAAAATATTCATTAATCTATTCCAAATGTTCTTTCAGTAGGCATAGCAGTATCTGAAATGCTCTTTAAGAATATCTCCACACATTTTTATATGTATCGCAATTTCTTTTGAAATTTGGGGTTCATATCATTATTCTTAGGTTGAAGTAGAGCACACTAAAGCATTTACCTCCAAATCAGTCTCTTTTAATAAAAAGTTTTTATTTATATCATCTGTGTATTGAACATTGGGAGAATACAGATTAAGAAAAAGTGGTAACAGGTCAGACAACTTCATACAAAATTTGAAAATCTGAAATGCTCCACAAAGTCCAAAACTTTTCTGAGTGCCAACATATTGGCACACATGGAAAATCCCACAATTAACAGCATATGACAGGTCACACCCAAAATTCAGGAGCACTAAAACTACCACAAGAAATTATCTTCGGCCTCTATGTACAAGGTCTACATGAGACCCAATTTTCTGTTTAGCTTCGGTGTCCCGTTCCTAAGATACCATAATATATATGTGGATAATCCATAATCTAAAAAATTCTGAAATCCCAAACATTTCTGGTCCCAAATATTTTTGGGTAAAGGATATTCAGACTGTAGTTTACTTATAGTTAGACAACTCCACCTAACGATCTAATACAAGCAGTCTTCAATTATGTATCATGAGATACCAGGGTTCAAAGAGAAGGGAGGGGAAAATGGATAGGCATGAGCAAAGTTTTGCTAGAATGTGTGATGTTAGTTGGGAAGGAGTCAGAGAACTAGCTTTTAAGTTAAATTGCAGCCAGAATATGGATGAAGTTCTACAATTGATAAACTGCTTTAAAGATTTTCTCTAATCTTTATCAGAGATGTAGGATAATTCATCTAGCAGCAAAATATAGAAATAAGTTTCTGGCATTGTTGAAGGCAATAGGGGAAGAACCCACTCATGAATAGCAGCAGAGAAATGAAAATATAGAACTTGATAACTGACTTACCATAGGTAAAGAGAAGTAACGAATCAAAGATCATGATGCTTCATGTACAATGATTAGCAAAATGGAAGAATTCATAATATAGAAATAGAGAAATTAGAAGGAGAATCTGATAGTAGTTACTTTGATTCAAAATCAAAGTAGAAATATATTAGCTGTTGAAATATTCTAATATTCTTTCAGTGTTGAATAAAGGTGAATATTTTGGATATAGACCTTTCATTATTTATCTTAAAAAGATGAAAGCAAGTTGCCAAATTGGCAAGATATTTAATTTCAAATAGGCAATGAAACATAATATATTGAATCATCACACTAATCGACATCTACTCTTTGGAGGGTAGTGTGTGCTGGGCTTTCTACATTTGAAAAAGCATTTAGTCATGGCTACCTTTCTAGAGATACTTATAATTGATAGGAAGCAAAAAGGGAACCCCTAGTTAAAATATAATGTGATAGAGAATCATGGAAATTATTAATGGGAAAAAAGTCAGTTTACTTGCATCTGATAAATTCTGACTCATAATTAAGGGAAGTTTTTTAAGTCTCAAAAGATGCAAAATAAATCTTTTGTATTATATAGGTATATTATCATAGTTTTATGGATTCTGACCCATTAATCAAGTTAAATATTGTCCTAGTACACATTACTTTGAGAAAAATAATGTCTCAGTACACAGTAGATAGAGGATAATTTTTGGCTCCATATTTTATGCAGATTATACAAGAGATTCAGTGAGTTGCTCATTGATGCCCAGTAAATGTTGGTTGGCATAAGTAAGAGACTTTATTATTTAGATATTTCTCATGTACTTGTAAAAAAATAAATTGGTTATTTCATAATTACATAGTTATTATGTATTTTAAAGTGTATAAAAAATAACCATAAGAAAGGGGAACTAATGAATACAGAAGGGAAACCAGTAGAGTAGGGGAGAGGGATCCAGAGGGAGGGCATAGGGAAGGACTTGGGAAATGCTGGGGAACAACAGCTACCAAAGTATGCTCTGTCCATGGATGAATAGACCACAATGAAAACCACTTATGTTTATAATTTCTATGCACTAAGTGAGTTAATAATAATAATTGAAGGGAGAGCAGCAAGTGGATTAGGGGGAAGGAGGAAGGGAGAAATAGGGAAAGTACTAGGGAATTAAAATGATCAAATTATGTTATGTGCATGAATGAATATGGCATAATGAATCTACTATTATATGTAATTATAATGCACCAATAAAAACGTTAAAGACGGAAATTACCAAAAAAAAATCTATTGAGAAATACGAGAATTGCTTTTGAATATAAATAATACTGGGAAAGTGCATCTGCTCACATAGATGTTCTTTCATAGGGCCGACGGTGCTGGAAGTCTTTAATACCCTATTGAAACATCTGCGTCTTAGTGTTGAATTTGAAGCAAATGATTTGCAAGGGGGATCAGTAGGCAGTGTCACCTTAAATGCAAGTTCTAAGGACAATGATGAGAAGATTGTGCAGAATGCCATCATCCAAACAATAGGTGAGTACATTTCACTTTTCAAAACTATCATGTACAACAGTGGTTTAAAAAGCTCTCACATAAGAAACACCATGATGAATGATAGCTTATATTTCTAAAACCTTTTTATTTGGGAAAAGCAAGCATAAGAATGGGACAAAGAACACTGTATATCTTTTACACAGATTCATAAAATGTTAACATTTTATGCCATTTTCTTTTTCATTTGCTCCCCACCTATCCCTCTCCTCTCACTCAGTGTGGTTTGTGTAAAAAATAAACACATATACACCTATATGTTTTTTCTTAAACCACACTATAGCACTTTGCCACTGAATTTTTCAGTGTATTTTTCCAAAGAATAAAGATTTATTTTTTTAATATAACCAGGGTAAAATCATCAACATCAATAAAATCAGTTAGTTCATTCCTTCTAGAATACAGCATAAAGTGATATGTTTTTCTTAGAGTGGCTCACCAGAGGTGCATAATGGGTTGCTCTTCGTTGATAATGTTAATTTTATCAATCAGGGTGTCATCTTATTTCTGTACCATACAGTCAATTTTTTCAAATAATAATTTATGCAAATATAAGCAATCTGGGAAGTCATTTTTAGATCATGCGGATATTCTGCTCTTAACCTTCTCTGCACATTTTTCATCCATTTGTGATTACTGTTTTATCATGATGGCTGCAAAATTTGGGATTGAAACTTTAGCACTCTCTCCCTCACTTCCAATATTCTAGTGTAAGCAAGAGCCCCCTTTTTTACCTTTGTATGTATGTAGAAATGCATTAATTTATTATTTATATGGATATTTTATGTTTATAATTTATTATGGTACTTAGTGATTTTGGTACTCAGATATTATCCCAGGTTTGGACAATGGGTGCCCCATTAGGCTGTGTTCTTTGTTCTTTAAGCATCTTCCCAATTTTTGAGTACTGTGTTATTTGGTAAGCTGTCTCCAGCTAATTTTGTATTTCCTGTGTCAGACCTGCAGTTTGGTATTTTTCCAAGGAGCCATGATTCCTTTTAAATGGGGAATAGTGTTAGACACCACAAGCTAGATGCTGAGTTCTAGGCTCCACTAAGATATCATATCTTAGTGGATATTATATTTTATATTCTAAGATAATATATCTAATCAGTTAATGTATTGCTTTAGTAACTTCTAATTAATGTTAGTGTTGTCACCTAGAATAATGTATTGTTTTTCAAGTATTATAAAATATATATAGCAGACTCATTATTTCTATGATAAAACACATTCAGAATAACATAGAAAAGAAATGGCAATGTTGAACAGTGAGTAAAATTTCTTTTTAAAAAATCACACCTCTGATTTCCTTCATATTTTCCTTTAGAATTTGTGAGTATTCTGGTAGCTCTTGAATCTTAGGATGTGTCTGTCCCAAATGGACCGTGGTCTGGACTCTTGTAACTTTTGCACTTTGGGTGAGGCTCTTTGCCAAACCCATCTTTCTATTAAAATAATCAAAAACAAATCTCTTTGCTCTATTCTTTCTTTCTGGGCCCATTAACATTCCTGTTCAGTAGTCCAACACAAACAGGGTGAGAAGTTTTTGAAGATTCTGTCCTTACTTTTGATCATATTGGAGGTTCCTGCTCAATTTAAGGCAAAAGAAAAAACTTGTAAAGCATGAAATAGTTGAATTTTTATCTTACTATGATTTTTGTCAGTTTTTTAAGTCTTACTGTATCTAATTAACAGACATACTGGACCCTTTGAACATGTTCTTGGAAAAGAAGAGGAAGCTTTTTCTCTTAAGGCACTAGTTTTTAAACCTAGCTCTACATTACAATTACCTTAGGATTTTAAAGAAATAACAGATGCCTGGACTCCCACACCTATATATTCTGACTTAGTTAAATTGGTATATAACCTGAACTTTAGCATTTTAAAAGCTCCCCAGTTAATTTTAATAGGTAGCAAAATTTGGGAACCACTAAATTAGAGGAAACCATTCCATACTTTTTGAAAAGCTGAAGTTCAACCGTAAATTAATGATGGTTGAACCTCAGCTGGATGAGGTTGAACCTGGAAGCAGGGAGGTGTAACAGTGCTTTTTACCTCTTTTTAAGTATCTAGTAGTGGTATAATCAGTCTGATGCTGTAGTAAACACAAGTGCAGGCTATGTTATGTCAGATGGTAATGATTGACATGTTGGGCACAGAAAATCTAGTTTGCTGCAGTGATTAGGAGTATATCATATTTAAGGGGCTGGAAAGTTTAAAAAAAAAAAAGCAGCTTACCTGGAGCAAGTTCATTGATGACCTTTCACAATGATGAATAGAATGCTTTGACTTTTTATAAATATATTATTAATTGCAATAATAGAAGCTAAGGAGTTAAACTGAAGAACCAATTTATTCTTAATGATTATGCTGAATTTTAAGAAAAGAACAAAACTAACCATGATTTGATATCTGTTCTGATCTTAAAGAGAAATGAGAAAATTTGAAGTGTGAATAATTGAAAAACCTTGTAAATCTTTTATGTCCAAGAAGTAAACCATCAAAAGCTACATCAGAAAAATGTAAAATATCCTCAAAACCCAAGAGTGCCTGAAAAAAAATTACAAGTAAATCAGCTAAATATTTATTTCTTTAAACATGTTAAATTATGGGCATTGAAATAACTCACAAGGTTAAACTGTAAAACCTGACCCATTTTAATGACTTTTTAGAATGTTTTGGTAATCCTAGGAAAACCAGAGTAGTAACTGAATGTTTGGGTAATCTTAGGAAAACCAGAGTAGTAACTTCTTTACTAAAATGTGGCCTAATTGTGGACTTGCCTATTGAACAAGAATTGGGGCTCACAGTATTTGAACAAGTTTCATCAGACACTAGTCAACATTTTTTGCCTTTTTTCTAACACTCCTATCATTTAAACTCACTGATGTTTGCCACTACTAATTACACATAAAAGACTTTCAGGTATTTATCATTTTATGGAAGTATTAATCCATCATATATATCTTTGTGTTAGACATGATTTTGGACATCTGAAATTGTAATAGCTTTATTGTTATCTAGCTTTAAGACAACCATTGTTTTATCACATATAGAAAGCTTTGGTTAAAAATATAATTCTTTATTATATAGAAAAAATAGCTTTGTAATTTGTAACATTTATCTTAATATTTTTGTAGGATTTTTTGGAAGTAACCTACCAGATTATCAGAGGTCAGAAATCATGATGTTCATTATGGGGAAAGTTCCTGTGTTTGGAACGTCCACTCATACTTTGGATATCAGTCAACTAGGGTATGTTCTTAGACTGTAAATTTTAACTTAATCTCCAGTTACATTTCATCTTTGATCTAGAAAATATTAAGTCAACATTTATATGGCTTTAGAATTATTTTTCAGCTTCAATTTTCTATGTCTTTATTAACTAAATAAAAGTCTTGATTAGCTTAGGCATTGTGTATATGCATCCATATATGAACTAAAGCTTCAGGTTTTCTGTAAAAATTTTAAAAATTGTCAGTATGTAAGGAATGTTGACTTCTTCCTGCAACTATAAAACCAAAATTGATTTTAAAGATCTATTTTCTTCCCTTACTTTATAGCATGTGATTTGATAGCTTGCTTATTAAGCTTTAGTTTGTGACTGTTTTTTTTTAATTTAATAAGAAAATGATTATACTGTACCTCGTAAGTATGTATATCATTAAGTGCTAATCAAGAGTTTTTTTAAATGTTTAGGTAGATGGAAATGTTAACTACCCTGATTTGATCATTATACCCTATATATATATCAAATTATTAACCTAGACCCAACGAATAGGTACAATTAAAATAATTTTTTTTAAATTTATATTTCCTTGCTAAACACCTCAATGATCTGACTCTAGTTTCATATGTATCAGATATCTGGCAGCTCACAAAACATGTTTGCTCTTCTTCAGTATAACTTACTACATTTCCCAGCCCATTGTGTTTTACTAGACCAGGTTACTAATTCTTATTACATGACTAGAAGGTATATGTCATCTTGGGGCCAAGTATGCTTTCTCCATTCTTTTTTGTAGGATCCAGGAGGTACTGGAGGTGCTAGAGGAAATGTGAGTCATTAGATAGAAGGAGGCTAGATCCTTGAATGTGGAAGGCCACCTGTCAAATACCTAATTAGACTGTGATAAGTGTTAGAAATAAATTTTTATTATTTTAATCCATTGAAATTTGGGAGCAGGGCTGAAGTATGTGTGGAGGGGAGGAAA